GAGTAAGTTTAGTTAGTGTATCAATAGTAGTTTTTATTTTAAAAGTACTTTTATGTGACTGAGTAAAGAGAATAATACCCTATAAGCAGTACAAATGGCTTAAATGGCTCATGTTAAAATAACAACTAGTATCATTTTAAAATAATTTCACTGAATTGAACAGGCCAGAGGGTATTATTTTAAATAAAACTTCAAACTTGTATTAATCCGAACGGGCAATAGGGTATTAATTTAACATAATACTGTTTAGAATACTCACAATCATAAATTTTGCCTAGAAATTAACGACATGTGTTGCTATTATTCAAAAACTATTTCGAATTAAAATACAATTATCTTACCAGTTTATAGAAAAAAAATGTAGTTTTCGAAACGCAAATAAAAAAAAAATAGTTTTGCCGACTTAATACCCTATTGTTTTTGACGTGCGTATCGGAGACGCTACGATTGTACCTCAGTATAAGATGAAAGAAGAAATAATGTAAAGAACAAAATATTGTTAGATACCTGGCTCCCTGAAACCATTAAGGTACACAGTCAAGTATTAAAAAAAGCTTACACATCAAAATCAAAAGTCGATTGTCCCCGACTCCCGAAACAACTCAAGCGTCCGACACATTCAATGTTTTTCCATTATAACGTGTTACAAGGCAGTACAATATTTCTGGAACGGTTTCAATCATAAGCTTGAAAAGGAGGAGCTGTGGGCTATTTGAATAAATTGTTTAGGCGTGTTGATTGCCCCGTGAGCCTGAAGATAATCAATCATGTTTGTATCGCCTTACTGTGATCCGTTGGAAACATACGGGGCATGATTCGGGTATGGCCTTATTTAAAAAAATAAAAACAAAATTAACAATATTCGTTTCTTAGGTTTTCACGCACACCACTCATTAAATAAAACAAGTTTCAACAGACTGCGTCGTCAGAATTAATACAACATTAATTTTGGAACAGTTAAATTCAAATTAAATGATTTATTGTGAAATGTAGGTTAGTACAGCAATTTGGTGTTAGGTAAAAAGTTCAGTGTCACTACATTTCGACCTTATTACAAGGTATACAATATTTTTAAGTAATAATCAGGTTTACAATTATTATAAAAATCAAAAATTATATTATTACAATTACAATTTTGTCTGAAAGTACTTTTGTCTGAAATATAATCAGACACCTTTTATTACGCTTTATTCATAAGAACTTTTTGAAGTGAAAAGAACTTTCGCTACAGAAATGTGATCCGTGCATCAAATTTTTTTTTTTTTGATAGTAGCTATAATTTAGTGACCCTCAATAATTGAATATTTACTTTAGGGACCTATTTGTATATGCGTACACAAAGACTTAAATGAATTACTGATTTTGTGGAGCCTAGTAATTAGTACAGCAAATTTAATTTTATTTCTGGTATTGAGCGGGTGTTAATCACTATTTATAGGAATATTTTTTTTTAACAAACATTAAATTTTCATAAATAAACTGAGACGCAACTGTCATTATATGGATTTCTTTAAATTTTTATCCTTAAGAGTCTCTTATCTTTAGACTGAAGTAAATTGCTCGAACAGCCCGCTTCTGCAACACAAAAATAGTTTGAATTTCGGCAGCATTTCCCCACAGCAAAATACAGTACGACATCACACTATGACACTTGTTGCGGGCTCCGTAGTTAAATAATAACACCATTGGTCAATGTATTGGAGTGTAATTTCTGACTGGGTTTTTACAACTAAAAATACAGGTACATATATATGTTAATCTATAAACAAAGAAATTAGTGGGGGAGATATGTTGACTGCAGGAAGTCACGAAACAGGAATTTATGATGTAATGAGTACATCACATTAATAACTTTTTATCACGAATGATGCGCGCGATGAATATTGTGCTGACGGCACAACACTCAAACTTCTAACATCGTAATCCTCCTACATTCCTTCTTACATTGTTCGTCATTCTAAGTGACCTTAAACATTATTTCTCATGCTCTCGCATACTCAGAAATTCCATATAATTATTACTACCGCATATACCCACATACATACAACTTCGGTCTATTTTTACCGAAGGAGAATAAGTTTCCTCTAAACACACAAGCAACATATTAAATCCATTCCATCTGGATTGCAAGAAAAAGAAAATCACTGAAAAATGCCTTCCGTATTCACTCACATAGCTAATCCCGACCACAATCCGTAGGGCGTTAAGCCTTAAAAACCTTACTCACTGCAGAAATACTGTACGGGTAAACCCAACATGCTAGATGAAATTTGCACCAGTATGTCGCCAACATAAAAGATTATTAACGGTTCATTTTGCTGAAAAGGCGTCTTTCGCCTGGCACCTTAATGCATGATTTATAGAGGCGAATCGACATGAGACATTCGCCAGAAGTAAATGTATGGGAAAACCATCCTTTTATGGTGGAAAACATAATAATAAACATATCGGCGTCATACGAAACGATACCTGAATCAGAAATCAATATATCTTTATTCAAATTGAATGTATAGTACAACTCTTTTGAATCGTCCAGATTTGTTTTACCTACCACTCGTTATTAGACTTATTTTTTTAGCTGCGAGTAAAACGAGCGAAAAATGCTCCACATCATTTAAAGTATAATGTAACAACATTTACAAATCATTATTATGTTACAACGTCAATGCAATCATGATTTATTTATAATTTTTATTATTTTAAACATGTAACTGCTTGATTTTTAAATCTAAAGAAAATATAACTAGAAAAATTCCACGCGGACCAGGCAGCAGACGGGACTCGAACCCGCACCCTTCGCAATCCGGGCGAATGCACTGACCAATTATGCTACCGCGGCCCTCACGGACCGCGTCGAAATTCTTCTAGCCATTCTTAAGCTGAAAGGCAGCGCCATCTCTTCGCAGTATAGGTAACCCACAATATCAAATTCCACGCCTGGTCCGCGTGGAACTTTTTCTAGTTATATTTTCTATAGATTTAAACATCAAGCAGTTACATGCTTTAAAGTAATAAAAATTATAACTATAATTGCTATTTCTTCTTTCAAATGTTTAATACTTATAAAAGTATTCATTTGACATTGTGGGTTACATTCAATGCGAAGAGATGGCGCTGCCTTGCAGCTTAAGAATGGCTAGAAGAATTTCGATGCGGTCCGTGAGGTCCGCGGTAGCATAATTGGTCAGTGCATTCGCCCGGATTGCGAAGGGTGCGGGTTCGAGTCCCGTCTGCTGCCTGGTCCGGCTGGAATATTTTTCTAGTTATATTTTCTTTATGATTTATTTAATATAGAAAACCTATTGAAATGATTGGAATAGTTCAAATCCAAGTATTTTTGTATGTAATATAATCAGACGGTTTGTAATAAGCTTTTTTAATAAGTGCATTTTTATACTATCTTTCAATTTATGTATGGTTAAATATTAAATATTTCTTAGGACTTTATTGTATAAGCGAACACAAAGACTTTAAATAAGTATGAAGCAGGTAAAGTTAGTTTATTATTGTTTCTTGTATTAAGTGTGTGAACATCACTGTTTTTAAGAAACAAATTAATATTTTTTCTTACATGTAATAAATTTTCGTATATCTACTGTGAAGCGACGGTTATTATGCTAAAAACTGGTAATCAAAAGCTTAATCACCTCCTCCAATATTTACAACTTTATAAATGACCATTTTCCTTTACAAACTTTCGTCCCAGTATGATTCCACTGAATAAGGTGATTTAAAAATTCAATTTAAATACTTCTGTCCTTAAATGCCGAAGTTCCATACAATTTTTCACTCTACTTACCTGTAAATGAAAGTGGTTTGTGTTGAATTGGTTTACTTTCTCTTCTTGGAAATATTAGAATTCTTTCTCGATGTGAATAATGAATAGACAACAACTTTAAATATGGTTGAAAAAATACTTGGTATGTATGTGCATCGCGCGGTATCAGTCGTGGCTGAGTATTTTTTTTTTGTGGCATTGTCTAACGTTGGTGCGACGAAGCCGGACCGGCGACAGATTTCTTCTCAATGATGACGGCAAAGAATTCCTAGTTTATACAGCCGTTCGCGAGTGTGGTTTGTTGCTGCGCACTCACAAGACGTTAACACTTCCCCTGTAGTTAAGGAAGGAAGATTTTCCAAATATCCTTTCTAATTTGACGTGGTCTTCTCACAGTCATCTCTGTGTAAAGTTTCATTTTAATAGGTTGCGGAGATTTCTCGATTAGTCACTTAATGAATTTGGATCCTGTGCTTTTGCTTTTATTGATATAGATACAGGATGAAGTGTCTGCAGTAGTTATATTTGCCGGAACACCATATAAACGAAAAATATTTATTTATTTATTTATAAAATGTATTATTTTTGTGTGTACAGAATATAAGGAGTAGGAGCAACAAAATTAAAGATAACATGTACAAGGGCACAACTTATTTCAATCTGAAATTTCTTCCAGTAGGCCCGTAGTAGGAAAGAATATAGGTAAAGGTAGTCAGCGTGTACACCTGAATGTAAATACATGTTAATACCAATAAATATGGGGTTTACATTATATAGGTTTATACATACACAAGTACTTAAATAATGAATAAAAACATATTCATACGAATATGAAATTGATGACAATAGATAAATAAATACATGCATACATGTAATATGGGCGACGAGAAGAGAAACTTAAGATAAGAGAGAAAATTAAGGGCAAGAAGATAAATAGTGTTCCTTCAGATGTTTTTTGAACACTGAGACAGAACTAGAGTCTCTAATTTCTGCTGGCAGCGAATTCCACAGACGGACGGCATGTACTGAGAAGGAATAGGATGCGAAACTAGTGTTATGGGTGGGACATTTTAGAAGGGATTTGAGGTGGGATCTGCAAGGATCTGTTGACAATTACTTAAATTCCAAATTGAATAAATAATAAGAAAGCTTTTGAATGGTCCAATTTTCTGTCTATGATATGATAAGGCTATCATAAAAGGCTATGATATGATATTCGCTTATGATTATGATGATAAGCGGCTTGGAGACATCCGTCAGCTTTGTGAGTTCACAATATGAGGATCTGAAGAAGTTAATGATGAGTAACTCTAATGAGCTTAAATCGTTGAAGGAGGAAAATAGCGTTCTGCGTGGCAACTTAACTGCACTTGAACTTCGCGTAAAACATATTGAGAATGAGAGTGCACGTCATCAACAGTGGGCCCGTCTACAAAATGTAGAAATAATGGGTGTTCCCGAGGATGCTGAAGAGGATACATCCAATATCGTATTGAGCATTGCGAAACACATCGGTGTTGACGTAGCTACAGATGAATTGGAATTTGCACATCGAATTCAACCCTATAATTCTAATAAAAGTTCCATCATAAGAAATATTGTAGCACGGTTCAGGCAGCGATCGACGAAGGATGTTTTTTGGCTGCAGCGCGGAAGAGGCGTGCCTTCTCCTGTGCTGATGTGGGCCTGGGTGGCGAGGTGTCTAAAGACAGTCAAATATTTATAAATGAACACCTAACCCGAGAAAACAAATCGCTGTTAAGAGTAACTAAGTTAAAAGCGAGGGAAATAGGTTACAAATATATTTGGACAAAAAACTGTCGTATTTTTGCCCGCCGAAACGACAAATCGCCTGCTTTGCCGATATTAACTATGGACGATTTGAAAAAAATTCGTTAATCTCAGTGTTTATCAATTGTTTTTGCTGTATTTTTAACATTAATTCAACTACTCAAGTCATATTTAATCTAACACATCACACACTATACACCTCATTCAACCAACGACCTACTCAAACATTTTTATATAAACTATTTATGGTACAAATTGCCATTGAAAGTATTTATGTCAACGACTGGTGCCAATGCCATCTTCAGCATTTACGTTTAAAATATATACCGCAATTGAGCATTTTTAAGATGTTTAACAAGTTTTGCGCATGTAATGTGTCCACTGTAAAGTCATTGTTGTTATTGTTTTGCGATTTTGCCGGATTACATTATAATGTTCAAAGTCTACACAATCTCGGATTCACTCAGTATTCGAACGCGACTATGTATATTCGCAGTCACCCAAATTTTTTCTTGCGTTATCTTGTCGCAACCATACACTCTTGTACATTAGTACGCTTATATATAACAGCTATTCAAACACGGTTAATACGCAATGGCTTCGTCACCTAATCGATTAAATTTTTACTATCAGAACGTAAGAGGGCTGCGTACTAAAACTAACTCGTTCTTTAACAACACATTTTTGACCGAATTTGATGTGGCTTTGCTGACTGAGACGTGGTTATGCGATGGCATACTAGATTCAGAACTCTGCGACAGTAATTATGACGTTATTCGTCGTGACCGCGGCGCGCTCGGCGGCGGAGTTATGGCGCTCTGTGCCGCGCGGCTGCAAGCGCGCCCGCGGCCGGAGTGGGGGCACGACGAAGTCGAGTGCGTTTGGTTTACTATACCTTCGCGCGCTCTCGGAACCGATAAGCAAAATATGCATATTGCTGTGATTTATTTACCGCCCGATCGAGCTATTCCCACCCGTATACAAATATTACTCGACGTTATATCACATGTCACAGAAACTCACTCTGATGACTACATTCTTTTGGCTGGTGATTTCAATTTACCGTGTGTTGAGTGGTCTACTGGTAGGCCTAATTTCTTAAAAAAGGGATCTGTGGACGTGCAAACCTCAGCTGCGAAACTGATTAATACGATGTCTTACAACGGATTTTATCAATATAACTCGATCATTAACTCACACAATAATACATTAGATTTAATTTTTGCTAACTTTCCCGCAGCTCTGGACAGATCCTGTAGTCCATTAGTTTAGGAAGATAAATTTCACCCGGCCTTACTATTTAACGCCTCAGATATAACTATACCACCCCTTAAAATACCTACACGTAAAAAGTATCAGTACCGTAAAGCGAATTACTCTGCTCTTAACGATGACTTTTCATCTTTCGATTGGTCCTTTGTTTTGCATCAAGCGTATGCGGATGACATGATTAGAAACTTTTATGATATCATGTATAAGTTAATAAATAAGCATGTGGCACAAGTAAATGTTGGTGGTAGACATCAATATCCCTTGTGGTACAGCCCCGCTTTAATTAAAGTTATTAAAGAAAAATCCAAAATTCACAAATATTGGAAACGATTTCGGAACCAAATTGATTATGTTTCATTTTCTGTGCTTAGGGCTAGAGAGAAAGCACTCAAAGCTAGGTGTTATGAGTCATACATTTTGGACTGCCAAGAAAAAATTAAACGTGTGCCTATAACATTCTGGTCATACGTTAAGTCCCGCAGGAAAAATAACTCCTGCTACCCAAGATCAATGGTTTATAATAGTAATAATCTGTCTAATGAGCAGCAAATCTGTGCAGCCTTTAATGACTTTTTCTACAGAAACTTTGGCACAACTAGCACGTCGAGCCATACAGTACCACCTCTCTCTGAAGCTCAAAATGATCACCTTTACACTTTTGATGTCGATCCGAATATGATACTAAAACTTCTTCAGGGTTTAGATGTCTCTAAGGGTCCTGGCAGTGACATGATTCCGCCAATATTTTTTGTCCGATGTGCGGAATCATTAGTTGCGCCCATAACATTTATCTTCAATAGATGTTTGCGTGAAGGTTTTTTCCCCGATATCTGGAAAACTGCCCACATTGTACCCATACACAAGAAGGGACTTAAGACGTTGGTTGAGAATTATCGGCCAATATCAATTCTTAATGTTCTCAGCAAGCTGTTTGAAAAGGTTGTCCACCATCATGTTTATCCCTTCATTAATCGTATTATCCCTGAACAGCAACATGGGTTTATAAAGGGCAGGTCGACTAATAGCAATCTCGCAGTGTTTTCGCAAGATGTCCTCGAGAGCGTTGATGGGGGAAACCAGGTCGATACGATCTATACAGATTTTGAGAAGGCGTTCGACCGCGTCGATCATTTAATCCTTCTTCGTAAGCTTCACGAAATTGGGATACGTGGAGACCTGCTAAGGTGGTTTGAGTCCTACTTGCGCAATCGACGTCAAGCGGTAGTTATGGGTGAACTCAGATCTGATTATGTTACTATACCATCCGGTGTACCGCAGGGATCGATAATCGGTCCTCTTCTGTATGTCGCTTACCTCTACGACATAGGTCAGTGTTTTCGATATGCCAAGTATCTAATGTATGCAGATGATACGAAGATTTATATGTCAATAAAATCTACGTTGGACTGCCTAAAACTTCAGGAGGACCTAGACAGATTATCAACTTATTACGAACAAAATAAAATAAAAATCAATGTGATCAAATGTTTGATAATTACCTTTACGCGCAAAAAAGTTCCTATTGCGTTTGATTATTGTTTGAATAGCACATCTATTACACGAACGTATCTGGTGAAAGATCTCGGTATACTCTTTGATGATAAATTAACTTTTTCTACCCACGTAGCAACAATAGTCAACAAAGCTTATAAGAATTTAGGGTTTATTTTGAGGATTGGCAAGCCTTTTACTGATACTCTTTGTTTAAAGATTTTGTACTTTGCATACTGTCGTGGTATTCTTGAATATTGCTGCAATATTTGGAATCCACAATACATTACTTATAAACATGACTTAGAATCGATACAGTCAAAATTTGTTAAGCATCTTAATTACAGAAAAAGAAATGACTGTCCGGACTATAGGGAAGGATGTCGTTTCCATCGTTTGGTCCCTCTTGAGGACAGGCGCACTATGCTCGATATGGCATTTCTCTACGACGTTTGCAATGGGAATATAGACTGCACTGAGCTTGCCTCTTCATTTTTAACACTCTACACACCCACTACCCGTACCAGACATACATCATCTTTCTTTTTCGCAATTCCTACATGTCGCACAAACTATGCACAAAACTCAGTTGTTTTTCGAACGCAAAGTACATACAATAAAGGTTTCACGGCTGTTGACATATTTGCTTGCAAAAGTAAAGCATCTTTTAAAAAACAACTTTTAGATCTGTTGGTTGATTGGTAATATACAAACAAAAATGAAACACACATGTATACATATATACTCACAAACACACACACACACATATATACAATAGCGCGCGCGCATTGCACGTTACAATATCACAAAACAACATCTCGCCCTTGTTTGGTAGAGGGTTTTCTAAACTATTATGCTATAACTAAAAAATGAAAATCCGTAATTGGCATTAAGATAAACTGTATTGTAAAACCTGTATTATATTAAGAAAATGCTGTGGATTTTGGTCTAGAATTAAATAAATAAAAAATAAAATGAGACTTGTTTTGCCGTTTTGTTAAGTACCTCACTCTATTGAAAGTATAATTATTTAAATATGCATACCTATTAATAAAGTATATTAGTTACGATGTCTAATTATTGTCCAAAATAAATCCTTTGATAAGAACAGCATTACGCCGTAATGAAGATACGCCAGTTAACGGACATTCAAACTATTTTTGTGCTGCAGAAGAGAACTATTCGATCAATTTATAATCTTAAAGTTGTAACGACATAATGATTTGTAAATGTTGTTACATTAGACTTTTAATGTTGTGGAGCTTTTTTTTGCTCGTTTTTCTCCGTAGCTAAAAAATATGTCCATAACGAGTGGTAGGGAAAAAAAAATTTGGACGATTCAAAAGAGTTGTACTATACATCCAATTTGAATAAAGATATATTGATTTCTTGATTACATTTTTACTTGCTTATTTCTAAAAAAAAATATAAAATAAACTCTCACTTCGGACTACGAGCAGTTTTGTAGACTTTATTTTTCTATTTTTTTTACGTCGTTATAAATTTTATTAAAATTATTGATGATATGTCGGATATATTCTTTATAGGTTTCTTTTGTGGTTTTTTACATATTATTTTATTGAAATCATATGAATTTGTTTGTTGTTTGTTAGTATTTGCATAATTGAAACTTTGTACATATTCAACAATTTGGTTATGAAATGAAGGACAGTGTTCTGTTAAGTGATTTATTGATTGGATGGGAATGTTATCGCACGGTAGATTGCCTATTTTGTTTCTTATAAAAGAAAACTTGTTTTTATGTTTTTTGTCTAAGAGGGAATCTCGTTTGATCATTTCAATAGTGTCGTGTTGCTCAGTTAAGTTTGTTAGTTTAAAGTTTTGTGTGACTCACCTTGTGATTGGTAGACAAAGCATTATTAATACCAAAACAATAGTTTCTAACCATCTGGTTGAACTACGAGGACTAGAATGCATTTTTATATACATTTTACTATAGTTTCTAGGCTATTAGGTTCTTTGCTTTGAGCTTTATTTAATATGCACTATAACCAATATCTTACTTCTCTGACGATTACCCAGAAAATAACTTTTAATCATAGAACTTTTTTTAGATTATAGACACCATACTATTTGACGACCTCCTTGGCCGGGTGGTTTGTACACCGGGTTGCATGATGTCACCGACTCGAGAGGTCCCGGGTTGGAATC